ACATGATATATATATATATATATATATATATACTCTTAATTGTATTGCTGTAGCCGGCCGCATATTTATTTTCAGGCATACCAACTGCTCTGTTTTAAACAGAATATTTTATAAAGTGAAGATCTAGAGCATAAGACACAAAAATTTTCAGAATTCAGTGTCATTTTGAAAATTTATGAATGCGCCACTACGAACTGGAACAAGTATGTAGCTTAGTGTGTAGCTGCACGCAAAATTAGTTTTCTTATGTTAACCATCTCTATTAAACCCGAAGATTATGTAACTGTTAATCAAATATTTGAATATAAATTGTGACCACTGAACAAATATTCGCGACAACTGGGTAATATGTAAGTCAGAAAATTATGTCAACACTACCACTAACTTATTATTAAAATATTTTTAAAAATTTTATTAAATTAGTGGTAGGAAGTTCAAAGATTTCAATAGTTTGCGAAAATTATTTACAAGTTCAATTCAAAACAGTATTTATTCCAGTAAACACCAATATGTTTTCTTGCCTGTCAATCAATCAATTTAATTTAATCTTGTTATAACGTGGTGGCCATATGTTTATATTAAATACATACATACATATTCTTTTTCACTCCGAATTGAAGCTTATAGGCCTTTTATCATAGCTTTCGATCTCACTCTATGTGTGGCTACATATTATGACTCTCTCCATGTCTGTCCTATGATTTTTAATCGCTTACAATCATCCTGCTCCAAATATTTTTTGGGTCTTCCTCTTTTTCTATTGCTCTGAGGGTTCCCATCAAAAACTTGTTTTACTTAAAATTTTTGAGGTTTACGTAGTACATGACCTATCCATTTCCATTTATGTTTTTAATTTCCAAATCAATCGGTTTATGTTTGGCTTTTCTGAGTACATTAAATGTTCTAGCCAAATGTATTTTTTTAAATAATTTCTATTTTACTGATTTCATTAATTATAAATATTATTGTCTTATTCCAAATAAATTTTTCAAAACATAAAATAAATTTAAATAATTTTTTGTGACAAATTGCATTGTCAGTTTGTTAGTGTTACCTGTCAATAAATTGTAAAAGATTTTCATTACACAAATTCCAGTGAAAAACAAGTTTGCGTGCTTACTAAATTCCGTGCTTAAACATGAACCTTGAATGAACTTGTTTATGATACTACGCCTCTGTCATTTTAACGATAGGAGTTTTTTAAAATATGCATGCTTATAAATCGATTCATATTAGATTTGATTAAAATGTAGCTCTCCAAGCAAGAATTTCTTACAAAAGAAATTCATTTATTTTATTTCAGATATTGATATAAAAAAAATTTTTTTTTATTCTTCTCGTGTTAACTGTTTTTGAACTTTTCATTGAGAAGTTATTCGAAATTCCAGGTGCTAAAAAATAATTTATTGAAATTTAAACACATTTCTGGACAATTACTACTAAATGAAAAATTGGTTTTCGTAAATACGGTTCAGTAAATACGGTGCAACGGTTCTCAATTTTTTTTCTGGTTACGTAACCCTAAATAATGAACCTTCTTTTGCGGAAACCCGACTTAGTAAATTAAGTTTATTAAGGTAATTATGAAAGCTGTTACCCATAAAAGATTATTTTTAAAATACTTAGGTAGAAGTTATAAGATTTTTCTAAGATTTTAATTATGTTTAATTTCGGACAGTTAAATTTGTAGTCCTTATGGAAGGTCATGAATAGGCTAGGCAAGGTTATGAATTTATTTCTGGTGTACATAGATAAATTGAAAATGGTTAAAAAGAAGCAGGTTTATGGTTACGAAAATAAGAACTTAAAAGAACTACTATATATAAATGTTGAAAATGGTTGTAAGGAAAACATTTCTTTATTAAATTTCGTTATTTTATTTTGATTTGAAAAACGCGATAGGAGATATTAATGCAATATTTTATGAATGTATGTTATTTTCATTATTTGTTCATTACATTGTTATAGGAAATATTATATTTAACTAGTGGGCTGTGCCCCCTGCTCGCTAACGCTCGCCAACCCCCGAAAATTGCTACGCAATCTTATATGGTTTGCTTCGCAAACCAAGCTCGCTTCGCTCGCTACTAACTTAGGTACATTGCAAATGCACAAAATTCTAAGAATTCAAAACAATCATTCAAATCCATATAACAACTTTTTTTTTAAAAAAAAATTACATCTTTTTAGTAAATACTAAGTCATTAAAATAAATTTGAATTCAAATAAATGACATGTAATTCGTTAAACCTATTAGAAATGTGCTATAGTATAAAATCTTAAGATAAAATTTCTAAAACTGATATCTCTTTAAAAAGGTTAAAATTTTGGCTATAATTAAGTCTATTAAAAATTGAAATAAGTGAATTGCAATGGAAAAACCTGCATAAACAAATAAATTCTAGTAAAACAAATAAATTCGTGATATAAATCAAAAATCGTCAAATAAATTCGTAATATATAAATTCGTGAAAAAAAGCGCTTTCGACAAAATACTAAAATAGAGATCTATCGACAAAGACTACTCACTTCTGCCTAGCTTATGCTCTCTCTGGTTATTTCAGTTTCCGTTTTTAAAAGCGCTATATGTTGAGCCATCTTAGCTAGATTTGGCATGTGACATTTTTAGCGGTAATTATTGGTCTATTTTCTAGCGTTGCCATTCGGGGAGTTGTAATGAGGCTTTTTTTTTATCGCCGTGTAAGAGAAATATATATATAGATTATAAGAAATGTTATACTTAATTTTTAAAAATTGCCATTTTTATTTCATTAGCATTTTACTTAAAATAAATCCATTCTGGTAACCAAAAGGTCAAATAAATTATGAATTATAGGTTATATTTAAATATAATCAAAAGTTTCAAAACTCATCACGGGTTTTAAAAAGTACAAACGAACTTCCACGGAACCCCAGAGGTATGCGGAACACCATTTCAGAACCGCTGCCTTAGAGCAGTAGTTCCCAATTTTTTTCTGCAAAGGAACCTTAATTGTCGAGTTTCTTCAGGAGGATTAGAAAAAAAAATTATATATTGATATTAAAAAAAATTCATTAGAATCTGCGAATATACTAACCAAAAAAAAGACTACTGATTATTTTGAAGTTATTTAATGAATAGAATTAAATATTTAATATTATGAATTTTTTGTGTATGTATATGCTAAAAACTAATAAGCTCAATTATGAGTTTTTAAAAAAGAATTGTTATAAATTATGAGAATAGTTATCAGAGAAACGTAATTCTTTATTCTTGAATTTAGTTTTTTTTTTTTTTTTTTTTTTTTTTTTTTTTTTTTTTTTTGAATTGAAAAGCTCGATGAGAAATATTTATGAAATTTTTATGAATGTTTATTCTTTTCATAATTTGTTTAATATATTGTTATTTAAAATATCTATATATATATTTTAAATATTAATCCTTTTTATTCACCTTTTACACATAAGAAAGTTCACAGAAGCAAGCAAAATGTTTAATTAATTATGGATTATGAATTGAATATAAATATTATTACTGATTAGAAATATCCTAACTCTTGGAAGCGCTGTCACCCAGGGATGCTTTAGGGGAACCTCTGCCTTAGAGTGCCAGTTATCCGGATCGACCAGGACTAATTCTATTTACTAAATATTTGAAAAATTAAAGCTGTGGTAGGTCAGGGGATAGAATGCTCGCCTCCCAATGAGGTGACCGGGGTCAAATCTCAGCAATGACTGGTCGAAACAAATTCCGTAATCGGCTAACGCCGATCATAGTGATGACGTAAAGTATCCTCAGCCGTAAACGGATCATTCTAAACAAGAAAGGTTTCCGTGATTTTCCTCCCCGTGTAACGCAAATGTAGGTTAGTTCCATCTAAATGTCCGCCATAAAGGCCAAAAGGCAAATTTCTCTTCAGGAGTTTTCTTGTCTTCAGGATTAGGTTTGAAATTGCAAGTTGAACATAGTCGTAACCCAGAATTGGGTCAGCTGTCCAACGTCGGTTATAAAATAAAATTGGACAATTTTAAAAATGCCAACAAGACTTATTGGAAAAAAGACGCGTGTTTAAAAGACAAATTAAATCGAACCAAGTCCAAGTTATATATGTTTCATAAAATATTTTTTGTGTTATAAAATCTCTTCGAAATAATTTATCCTATGTTAATCTAATTTTTCAGGAGAAAAGAACGACGACTATTAGATTGAAGATGGAAAATATATCCTTTAAAATTATAGAAAACTTTTTTTTAAAATTATTTTTAAACTATTACTTAGCAAAATAATGTGGTGTTATAATCATAAAACCTATATTTTTGAATATTTGAATTAAATAGCTGTCATGATGTTGTTACTAAAATTCATTTCTGAACTTTAATTTACTACTATGTGTGATTAGTTATTAGCTCATTTATGCTATTAAAATTGAAGAGCTGAGTGGAAGAACTAGGCAAGTGGCCCTGTTCAAAGTAAGAAGAAAAATGTGGTATCCAAACTACTTTATAATAAAATCATTAGGTAATGAAATTAATATTTCTTTGCCTATTTTATTCACCGCTAAGTAATTGAGAATAAAAATAATACAAAACTACTCAAAACTAATCTGGATTTGATATATAACTAAAGTGATGGCAAAAACAATTCTATTATATTAAACATAACCATATTGATTCGACCAATTTTTTCTGACAAGTAAATATCCCTGAAAATGTCCCTTACCTGCTGCATCCATTAGGCTCTTCAATTATCATGTTATATAGTAACAGAAAGGGATGGAAATAAATAAAAACAGTTTTTCTAGTAGTGTTAGAAATCAGTAGTTGTGTTCTTAGTTGCAGTAATAGAAATAGGTAGAAAAATGTTTAGTTATAGTTGTAGTTAATCATCAAAACTCTTTGAAACAAATCAGGCGACGCCTGTGTTTTTAGACGACGCGTTAAAAAGGACAACAGCTATGATGACACCAGAACCACCTAAAGTAGTACCTACTACAGAAGCGACTACCACTACCGTCATTACTACAACGGAACCTACGACCACAGAAGAAACCACAACGGAACCTACTACGACAACAACTGAAGAACCCACTACCACTCCGGAACCTACAACAACACCTGAACCTACAACCACAACAACTTCGACAACTACAACTACTGTTGCAACTACTACAACAACTAAAGCAACCACAACTACAACAACCACGACAACTACCCGGAAACCGACCACTACAACTACGAGGCGAACTACAACAACAAAACCGCCAACTACAACCACACCGCCAACAACTACACCGGATCCATCAGGTATAACGTGCAAGAAAAATCATTCCTAGATTTTAAAAAAATAGGTATAGCATTCAGTACTATGCATTCTGTTCTGTATTTTTTAAGTACTATACATTCTGTTATCTTCCTGTTTAGTACTGTATACTTTGTTCCATACTTATTAAGTACTATATATTTACATATTATACATGATACATCTTCGTTGAACTATACATTTTGTTACATTTCCAATGCATTTATCCTTTCAAAAAAGTGATATATTTTTCAAATCAAATCATAGCTAAATTCATCGATACGACGGCAAAAAATAACTAAAGGCATGCTTACTTAGCCATTCAAAAAGTTGGCAAAAAGGAAAACAATCGAACTCATTTTTTAAATAAAAATTTTATACAGTATATTAAATACTGTAACACAATGGGTAGAACAATTTGTTATATCTAGCACCAGAGAACTTAAAAGCAATATCAAATATGTTCTTAAAAATGATTATTCTGGTTGATTGAATATCAACCACAGAACAATTGTTTTGAAACTAAGATCACATAAGAAATCAAACTTTATACTTTATCAAAACATTAGAAATATTTTTATTTAGTGGATTCTATCACACAATGGTATCGAAGGTAATGATCAGGCAGACTTTCTAGAGGAAAAAAATCAGAACTATGACCTCAACAAGAAATTGCACCTGCTACACTAAAACGATATATTTTTTAACAAATTTTAATGAAATGAATAATAATGATGCGTCAAAAATATCAAAGATGAATCTTGGAAAGTCATTCTAGATTAATGGAAACTGTAAATCCTGAAAAGAGGCAGTAGCGATTTTTAAACAAATGGCTGACCATGACTGCTAAGAACACTGTTCTGCCAAGAACACTAGTTCAAAATAGGAATATTCTCTACCAACGTACGCCTGATTTGCCAAGCAGACATTAAGATTTCAAGCTGTCTTTTCACCTGTCAAGGACTAGAACTCCCTGTGACTAGAACTGTGGGAACTACTCCCACGATAACGGAGGGCTTAACCAATTAAATTAGAAACCAAGAACAATATTGAACTCTCAATGATCAGACTATAATTGAAATTCAGATTAAAATTGACTGTTTATTGTTCCTTTTCAAATTTGGAAATGTTAAGTGTTGATTTTTAAAAGTTTATTGTTCATTGTAAATTGTTTATTGTCCTTCCTATATTTTTGTGGTGCGTTGATCTGTTTTAACAATGCATGCCGACCGATCTGTGTAGAAAATTTCATTCCCCAGTTGGCGGTTTGGGGAAAAGATGAATCAATGGATTAATTTCCAAATAAAGTCATGTGTAACTTATTTGTTGAATCTCAGCATCTAACTGTTATCATTTCAGATACGAGGTTTGCTTCCACATCCAGTTTCTACCTGTCGGATTTAGCCGCTGCCGGAACTCCAGTTTACAACGATGGACCGGTCCACACGTCGGAGGATGGCCTGGACGGATTTGGTAACTCGGCAGACTTTGGCGACAATGAAGAGAAACCCGAAAGATCGTGCTTAAAAATTGATGACCTGAGCAGAGCAGTTCGTGGCAAAGCATCTGAAGAACACAATAAGTGTTGGCGAAATCCTATAAACTGCAAAAATGGCTTTTCCGCCAGTATATTTGCTAAATTGCTCTTTGATAGGAAGGATAAAAGCAAAAGATATTTATTCAGCACAGGTATCGTTTGACTATACTCTCCAACAAATACGGTATTTGCGTATTTTCGAAAAATATTTGTCCTAGTGGTAGTTTAAGTACTATACAGTATATTTTCGATACCTCAAAGGAATTTTTCTTTAACATTTCAAATCTACATAATTTTAATTTGTATTCCTATGTTGAAGGCTTTCTTTTCAAAATTTTGCTATATCGAACTTTTTTGGAAATAGAAAAAGATATTTTTCGGAAAAAACATATTGTAAGCTCCTTGTAAACCAATTATTTCTTATTATATGCATAATTATTTTTTTCTTACTCTCAAAAATAAAATAATAATTCTAGTATATTTAGACTTATAATCAACTATCATTACATGCATGCTTTTTAGTAGTTATTCTTATGTTTCACTTTTTAGAGTAATATTTTTGAATATAGTTTTCTACTTTTTCAGAACATATTTAGTTCTGAGCTTGCAATATCGAAAACTCGCTAACTCGACATTTTTTTAGCGTCCCTTCGACTTTGAGATGTCGACAGTATACTGTATTAGTCATTTAACACATTGCATGCGGATCAGGTAAATATATTAAAAAGTGGTACCAAAACTACTTCGTCTCCGGTCTGTTGTTTTAAAGGAATTATCTATTCGTGATTATCACAATGGTAACTGATTCAGTAGATATATAATCAGTACTAAAATTGTTCGTTGCATTTTTTTAAAATTAAAATTGTAGCTATAGTGGCAAGTCTGCTACAACTTTAATGAAATCCTGCCTACCACTTTTTTAAAGTTTTAATCTATTACATCTGTGATAATTTTTTTGGAAAGTTGTTCGCATGCAATGTGTTAATTAGTTAGAAAACATAATTTAATCAGATACATATATACATAAAATTTAATTTTTATATAAAAGTCCAGATGCAAATTAATTGTAGCCAAATGGTTAAGATGTCCTCCTAAAAGTTAGGAATTCGCACCGGCCACAGTGCTGACGTAAAAGAATCCTCAATGGCAGACGGATCATGGGTTAGAGTCCCCTTGCCGTCAGGCTAATCGTAGAAGGTTTCTGTGTTTTCCCTCACCATGTACCGCAAATGTGGGTTAATTCCATCAAAAAGTCCTTCACAAGGGCTAATTTCTCCCTAGTACTTGATCCAGGAATTACAACTTGTTTTCTGGATTGAGCAGGGCTCGAAAAACCACCCGTCCGCCCGTCCTCGGCGGTCAAAAATTCCCAGCGGACAACGAATTTCTCGAATCCGACGTCCGCGCGGACGGCCATTTTCCCGTTAAAGTTGGTGATACATTTTCAATTTTTGTTATCTTACAAGAGTTTAGCGCCTCACTTCTAAAATGACCCTCTAATCTAGAAATACAGCAACATACTGTGCATGGTGGAATTGATGTTTTCTCTGTCTCCCGTACTGCAGCAGTTGAAAGGGACTTTTCAGCAATGGACTTACAAAAAAAAACATTACGTACTGGTCTTAAACAAGAAGCATTAAACGCAATTATGAACATCTACCTAAATGGAAAACCCCTTTCAGATTTTTGTGCAGAAACCTCTGTAAATCATTAGCTTGATTGTGGAACTGGCAAACGTCATATTTGATTCATTTAAAAAACGCAGTACCCTCGGATAAATTGACATTCCAGATAACTTGACATTTGTCATTTAAATTATTTCATAAAAGAAATAAATTATTTCATAAAAGAAATACTAGGTTACTATTAGTAACCTAGTATTTCTTTTATTACTGTATAATGTAATCCTAGTAACTACTAATTCATTGTGCAATTTATATAAATGTTTGTAATAAATAAGAGAAAATTATATTTTTATTTATTTAGAAGCTACGAGTTAGTTTCAAAGGAGGACGGGTACATTGTTGGACAAGCCGTCCTCGAGGACGGGTAAAATTTTTGAGTTTTTTCGAGCCCTGGGATTGAGTGTAAAATTAGAAAACTACAAAGTTGAATATTAGTAGTCGTTAACCCTAAAATTGGGTCGGCAGTTCAACGACGGTTATAAAATTAAGTAAAATGAAATTTTCTAGACTTAATAGTTTATTTTTTTCATTTTAAAATTTCTCATATTTGTTTTTCATCAGCGGTCGACTTCGAAAAAATACCTCTGTCATAAAAACGCATCGAGAAGAAAATCTTTACGTTTATTCCATCATGTTTTTATTGTAAAGGGTAATTCAAAATTAATGTAGCGATTACAAACAGCTATAACTATTTAATGATAAATTATTTATTGATAAGATTAACATAGAATGTAGATGGAACATCAAAATTTATTTACGTAAGGAGCAAGCACAGTGAAGCGGAATCCAGGGCATGCGTGGGTTAGAATTTAACAATTGTCATTTTTTCCTCACTGTTATCATTCTGTTAAAATGATTTAATAAAGTCTATATTATGATAACATCATGAGACATTGGTCACCATTCCTTAAACTTTTCCATACTGTTGCCATCTGGGGTATATACAGATAAAAAAATTTCTATTCATGCTGGCAAGTAAAAAAGAAAACTTAGGGCTGTTTCTAAAATGCTTAGATGGAAGCTAAATGTAAATATTTTTCACCGACCAAGCTAAAACTTAGTTACCCTATTTTAATTTTCTTCACGGTCGTGGTTTTTATATCCTGTGAGTTTATGTAAATTAATTTATTTTAAATAATTAATTCAAATTGTTCATCAACAGGAGGGGACATCGAAGGCATTCCTGGTGTGGCTGTTTTCTACAAAGGCATCTACATGCACGCCGTCGTTTCAACTGGGGAAAATGTTTGGTCTGTTTACGTAGCAGGAATTGTGCTCAACGATACATGGAGCAGTGTTGCTTTCACTTGGAGTCAGGCAGATGGATTGGATGTAAATATATTAAACACGTACTTCATAAAATTCTAGATTCAGTTAAAACACAAATGAAGGCTTTGTAGTAATAAGTCACATTTTCCTTTAACATGATATTTTTTCGAAACTTTTTCATTGATAGGTATTTGATGTGATAGATTTCTTGATGAGTTTTTTTATAAGTTTTCAGAATTTTCATTTTATGTACGACAGCACAACTAGAGGAATTTTTATCAAAACTGCTTGCGTTAGATGTGACTCAACATCATATTGTTTCAATACTTCCAAATATTGTAATGTTGTAAAAAAAAGCCTTTCGGGGATGCCAACTTGCTCCGGACAGCGAATATGTATTTTAAAGTCGTAGTTTATCAATTATGATTTTTGGTTTAATAAATTCAATTTAGTAGATTTTATCCACCACTATTTCTAATTAATTCGTAGGGTTATATAATTCACCATTTAATTGAATTTATGTAAGTCTACTTCAATTGCATACCTGTCTACTCTTCCGGATTTTCCGCAAGATTTTATTTTCATATTTAAAGTGGTAGTAATTATATACTATTTTTTCTTTTGTAATCTTAATTTTTAAATGATATTGATCACCACTATTCTCACAAAAATTAAGCACATATANGTCTACTTCAATTGCTAACCTGCCTACTCTTCCGGATTTTCCGCAAGATTTTATTTTCGTATTTAAAGTGGTAGTAATTATATACCATTTTTTCTTTTACAATTTTAATTTTTAAATGATATTGATCACCACTATTCTCACAAAAATTATGCACATATATTAAGATGCGTTACTATCATGGTAGTCAACTTAAGTTTTCTCTAATACAAAGTATTTGTTTGCTTAAAATTGAAGTTTCAATTCCATTTTAATACCACTGGGAAAAATGATAATGGAAGGGATTAAAAGTTGGCAGGTATGCAATTGCATTTCAATTACCAGAAAGAACCACCCTAAAGATCACATTTCAAGACGAATGGGAAAAAGGCCCCAGGCGCCCAGATAAATATTGATGATGATGTATTTATGTAAGGCTACCACAATGTTTGCTAAATCAATGTTTATTCCTTACTGTATGTAATTTAATGATGAATGGGATAGGGGATAGTTTTTTTAAGTTGTGGCTATGTTAATTGCAATGTTAACACATTTCAGACTACTGTAGCTGAAACGAAAGAGCATACTAACCAACTTTATACTCCATTACAGGGAAAGCAAAACTTGTATTTTCTTACTCCGTTAAAACTAAATCCGTTCTTACTAAATCTGAGCATTCAGCAAGTGTGAAATAAAATATAAACAATTATCTCTGATAAAATTTTTATTATTGGCAATGTTTAATTGTATTTTGTATATGAATTTGAATAATGAATATCAATAATCAGTAATATTATTTGTTTCATTATTTTTGTTGTTAAGATATGATTATTCAGGGCTTATTGAAGTCAGCTAAAATGAAATGAGGCAATTATTATCAATTATTTTGTTATTTTATTTTATTGTTATTTTATTACTATTGTTTTGATGTTCAGTGTTTGTTGACGATGATAAAAGTGCTTTTTATCATTAATATTGTTTGCATTGTTACTTTAGTTGCTCTTAAACTGTATTGTTACTAATAAACGCATTTCTTCTTAGCTATACATTAATGCCCAGAGGAAAGCTTTTGTGAAGTACCCGGATCGCCTATCTCCACCATTACGTCAGCCCTTGAAGCCACTTCAGTTGACTGTGGGTTGCAGACGACTGAAAAAGAACTTGTACGAGGATTTTGTACGTGGAAAACTTGATGAATTCGTCACTTGGCAGTACAAAGTATCCCATGAGAATGCTAGTTACTTCTTAGGTGGAATGGGTAAGACTGTTGTAGATCAAAGTTTTGCGTTCAAAAACATGTAATTAGAAGTACTGAGTGGAGATATTTTTAACGAATAATTTAATCACTCACAATTGAAGATCTGAGAGGTTGAATATGTAATTAGATTGCTGTGTAGAAATTTGTTAACAAATAATTTAATCACTCACAATTGAAGATCCGAAATGATGAATATGTAATTAGAGTACTGTGTAGAAATTTTTTAACGAATAATTCAATTCATTCACAATTCAAGATCTAAATGGATGAATATGAAATTAGATATTGCGCGAAAATTTTTTAATGACTATTTTAATTGTTCATTATTGAAGATCTGAGCTCAAACTATTAGGTTTTAAGTTCATTTAAATGTGCAATAATAGTGCTTTAAATAATTTTATTTACTACTATCTAATTTAAAATAAAAATTATGGAATATATACAAGATTGTTAAAGATCAATTGCGTTAGCAGAGAGCACTTAACTCTGAAAATATCACACACAGCTCACTAGTAGCCTTTTTCTTACCGTATGTTATACTATCTATGAAGTATTGTAAATATTGCGCATAGCCTTTTTTACCATTCAGGAATATCAGACTGGTGTAATCCAGGACCAACTTATCAGAAGCTGCGGACAGCTGTGGAGGAGGTAGGTCCATCGGTCGTGCACCGATTTTTTTTTAATACTTATATATATGCAGTCCATAAACTAGACTATATGTCTAGCCAGTACTAGAGTAAAGACATCAATCTGGAAGACTAGTACCCAGTGTAGTCCATATGCTAGATTATATACTAGACTGTATGTCTATTCATGCCCCTGAAAATATCACACGCTGCAGCCACTCAGCTCTTCAATTAAAAACACATCACCCACTCTTTAACTAAGTAAAAGCTTGTTAATTAGCACTTGATATAACTCTTAGCGGGCACAAAATAAGTGCTGAAAACTAAATATTTACATAAAATACTTATTCGTTCGTTGTAGCTTTTTCAATGAAAAATAAAAATTAAAAATTGTAGCTTCAGGACCTTAAACTCATAGCGAAACTTCAATTTTGAAACTTTACATACAATATCAAAAAACTGAAGTGTTACTTGAAACTTTCTAGGAAACTAAGATTCTCCTATCTTAGTTTACCTATCTAGACTCACCTATCTAGTAAACATTTTTAATTTTTAAAAGATGCTAATTTCAACTCAAAATAACAGTCCTTACGTTATTAATATACAGGGGTTGATTAAAATAACGGAAACACTTCCAGATTACAATCTTTCTTTTATCAGTAAATGTTTTGGATGATTTTACATGGCAAAACTGATCACAATTTTGACAATTATGATTGAAACTCATAAAAAATGTTTCCTTTTTACCCATGCAAAACTTGCATCAATCAAAATGAAAGGATAAAGTCAATAACTTATTTTCGTTTCTCATTACAACTATATTTATAAAAGGATTCTAACATGAATATTGCTGCACATTGTTAGTAATCTTGTAGTCTTTGAAAAGCTTTAGTATGGGTAGTAAATTTAGTTTAACGCTAGAGGATATTTCTTTCTTTTAATTTACGACTTTATCGTTAAGTGGTTTCGAAGCTGAAATTTCGTGCATAATACTTTCTTTGAAAAAATTATTTTTATAAGTTACACAAAAATTAAAATATCGACATTTGTTTTAATTCCGTTACCGCTTTTTAAAATTTTTAAGTCCCGTGGAGGCCCTACTCTTACTGAATAATTTCATAATTGCTTACATTAAAGTAAAAATAAAAGTTATTGACTTCCTCTCCTCGTTTCGGTCGTTCCAAATTTTGTATGGGTAAAAACGTTGCCATTTATAAAAGCTTTGAGCGGGAATTCTCAAATTGTGCCAACAGTCATGCAATGTAGTGTAATGTTTAGTTTGTGCCAACAATAATGCAACGCAATGTTTTGTTTTTACCTACAATAATGCAACATTATGTTTTACACTGTAAAATCTTTCAAAACAGTTTCTGCCAAAAGAAAGATACTTAGAGTTAGTGTAAATTTATTTCCACAATTTTATCCAACACCTTGCATCTTCGTGATCACGAATGTTTTTGTTTCGTCAAAATGTAATTCAAGAAATAAATAATAATAACAATTAAGTCACACGAATAAATGCTAGAATTTTTGCTACGAGTTTATGCCACGATAATCAGTCCGTTCGAAAAGTCAAACGTATTCAAATTACCAAATCTATATGTGTTAAATGGAAGCAAAATCCATCATTATGTACAATTTTAGTTTTGGTTACCACAGAAACGAGTGTTTGTCATCACTGAAAATAAAATCACAGAGACAGGAGTCTTTTGTTCAAAAAGTAAATGTTTTCAGGATATTTTATTCCAGTTATAAATGCTGAAGTTGAGTTTGCATGCAGCAACTTCATTAGTCCGAATATCATTGGATAATTTAGCTAGACTCATTACTAGAATGCAAAGAATAGCAACATATTAAAAAAGACTCATTTTGCGAATTTAGTCTGTGATATTTTTACGCTTTCTTTCTTCTGTCCTGCAGTTTTTCTTTTGTACATAGTTAAAATTGTGCTTTTACGAAAATGGATATGGTTTAAAAAGAGTATTAGAATAAATAGATTAGGCTGTAAATTCCTAGTTTTTTTTTTTTTTTTTTAATAGCATAACCAAGACTCGTAAGTTACAATCTCCCACTCACCACTGGTGAAAAATGAATCTTAGGTGGCGGCTATAATTTTAGCTTTTTTAATCACTATTTGATATTTTTTGAAGTTATACTTCTTATGCGACTTCCAACAAGGTTGCGTTAAACGTTTAACGCTACATTTTTATTGGCCGGGAAATCGCGTGATAGGATCCAGTTTTCCCTCATTCATTTCCATATTGTTTTCCTCACTAGCATTAAAATAATAAAAGTATTGTTTGTCCATAAATATTTTTTTAGTTTGATTTGATACACATACAATTTAATAGGATAGTATTTTTTATTTTCAAATTTAGTGGATAACAATTGTAAAAAATGAGTGAAAACAATCCCACGGACAATGCGACGGATTTAAGGTTATTTCAAGGTACGTCTCTTGTGAATATCAATTGATTGTTAGGTTTTCTCTTCTGAAATTACATTATGACGCATTCACATACATTATTAATACAAATACATTTTCCATGGCGAGACGATGAGGCAACCACAAGCACTTCCACTGGTTCAAGATTTCCAAGAGGGAAAAATGCACAATATTACCGTTATTACAGAGCACAGAAGCGAGCAGAGCAGGAAAAAGAGTCGTTGAATAGAACTAGTGATCCTTCTACAACTGCTGATTCTTCTACAATTAACGTCGCAGGTTACGAAGTTTAACTTCTTCCACGCGGAGGGACTCCACGCACTATTTTTTTTAAATATTAATTTCATATTAATAGTTATAATAACTTCATTAGTCCAAATATTATTGAATGAGCCGACGTAGTACTGACGTAGAAATATCTTCAGTGGTAGACAGGTCATGGGTTAGAGTCTTTGTCCTCTAAAGTTCTTGACATTTTGACATTCTTGAATTGAAAATAAGAATCTGAAGCAATCGATCATGAAACTCTCTCTCACTTCTTCGCTTTCAAAGAGCAGGGCTGAAAGTAAGAAGGAAAAGAATAAACATTGGCACCAAAACAATTTCATTTATAGCTGGTTTTGTGAGCGTTAAAAGAAACTTCTACTATTTTTATTTAAAAACTATTCATTACATCTTGATTGGACTTGTTCTGGTTAGTCAGTACCAGCCCTAGTGGGCTCTCACTGAGTCATCGGATAAGACAGAACTCTATGAGATAAAGTAAGACTAGGCGTATAGTCTAGTATTTGAACGGCACAAACATAAATATAGAAAAAAAAGGCACTGCCGATGGACCCACCTCCCCTACGACTGTCCGCAGCTTCTGGTGGATTGCTCCCCGGTTACATTCGTATAACATATATGAATAAAATAAAAGCATTTTAAAAACTTTCATTTTCAATTTAGGTAAAAATAAATTTTAGTTGTTTTAATTAACAAATGAAGAAAGAACATAACAGTAATTTTTTTCTTTTTCATGCTGCTTCAGCACCCGACAAATGTAAGTAAATTCTTTCAATATTTTTTATAGAATATAATTAGAAAATGAGGAGGGGGGAATACAATTTTCTCCCTTGTTTTATAATTGTATTTACTTCTAAATTATACAAATTCAATGATAACACTACGAACTAAATTTTGTTGGATTTACACAAGTATTTGATCTTACCGAATTTAGGTGTGATAATTTCAAAACTGAAATTAGTTTTGTTCCGAAAGCTATAGATTTATTCCAAAATAATAGTTTTAGTTTAGCTCTTTTTTTATCTAAATGTACAAGTTTATAAGTAAAGTATAGGTTTACATGCATACAAGTATGCATACCTCCTCCTTTGAGAGTAATATTAAACACAAAATTCATATGACCTTAAGGTTTCGCATCATAAACTGAAATTTATTATCGGCATTTTTCTACCACTCCCTACATAGGAGAGAAGTGGAGGCTCATAGTATTTGATCGAATGGATTTCAAACAACCCTGGTTAGGAATGTATCATTAAATTTCATAAAATCTGTAGCGTGTTGAAAGAAACCGATTGCAGAGTTGAAACCAAATCAATGACGTGTAAATATTCAAGATCTGTTTACTCTAGATTTACGGACGTTTCTTATATACGCGTTCTCTACGAAAACGCCTCAGCTTGAGGCATGAACGAATACACATACCTGCCAAATTTCACTCTTTCCGAGAATGGATTTTCAGAGCTGTTGTAAAACAATCTGACTCAAAAATATATTTATATTTTGATCCCGTTGAAATTCGCTGGCGCAAGTATTATTATGCTTTTTATATATTTATTGTAATTATTTATATGTAGTGGTGATCAAACTCATTTATAATTATCATTATAATTCAATAAGTTAATTGGAATAACCTGAGTATTGCTACCACTTTAAAAATGAAAATAAAATCTTCCGGAAAATCCGGAAGAGTTGGTAGGTATGAATACATATAAAAGTACTGCAGAGATGCCAATTTGCTCCGGACAGCAAATATATATTGTAAAGTGGCATTTTATCAATTGTGACTCTTGGTTTAATAAATTCAATTTCGAAAACTTTGATCCACCACTATTTCTAATTAAATCGTATACTTATATAATTCACCCTTTATCATTTTCAAAATTTGCTAAGTCGTTATTTTTTTGGAGTGTCCGGAGCTGTTGGTATATCTGCAGTTAGAAAGCAATGCAATTATATGCTATAAGAAAAAAAATATGAGATACATATTTATGAAATATTCTAGTATTTCATTTTTCAATACTCGAATTAAGCTACTGAAACCTTCAAAATCTGACATCAATTGACATTCTGCGTTTATTCTTTCTACTATTGCTTATCGGCAACAGTTGTTTATCGCTTGTTTCATTTGAGATACCGATATAACGGAAGTAAAGTATTGTCGGTACATTCCCATTATTATTAATGTGATGTTTGCATGTTTACTCAAAATTTTGTCGAAATTACGATCGCATCAAATTGAAGCATATCCGTAGAGATAAGTATACCGCAAAGAGAATTTCAATATTTCAACGCTTTTGAAGAAAATAGAATTCAATATATATTTACCTCGATCAGTGGATAAAAGTCATTACAAGAGATAAAATAAAAAAGCAAACTGGTTTTGTAATTTTCTTTATAAAATTCGAAATGGGTCAAAATGACGCGTCTCGTAAACCTAGTGTTAAAAAAAAAATTCCATGCCACAAAAAACAAAAACAAAATTGTTCCCCGGTATAGTTTAAACTGCAATTTGTTGTCATATAACTAATCGTATTTAATTAAATCAAAAATTGAATGACAAAATAATGGATGATGAGTTAACTAAAACTTTGAAGGAAAAAAAACATACATAAAATTCCAATTCACAAAAACATGTTTAATGCATAAAATAATGGATTTCTGATTTGCTTATAAACATACTGAATGTTCTTTATAGTCATGTCTTTTCTAATAGCGTCAAATTAGAGCTTTCTATCCTATATGGCAGAACACATTACAAAATCTCGTCTCACTCAAATTCCAGTCTTAGCAACCACTATAAAATATCTAGTATATATATATATTAGTGTGTGTGTGTGTTTGTTTAGCGGTCCCTCAGAATTGTTATAGTGGTAGAAGACAACTTTTCATTAGAGCATTGGAAATTCAGCAACCACTTAAATGCTATAAATTTTCACTCGCCCTACGTTATAACTCTTTATAAGTAATTGAGTTATCGGATTAATGTTTTCATCAGGAATGTTTCAAATTAACTTTTTAACCCTTTGCACTCGAAGACCTTTCAACAGTTAAAAAAATGGACGCAACCACTAACACTTTGAAAGATTTTTACAATCTTATCTTATAATACCCGAAGATCACTGAATAAGTGGTATCTAAGCATTAAAATGAAAAAATTTCACAATTAGAGTGGTGGATAATTTACAGGTGACAGTGGTGACTGACAGTCACCTCTCGAGTGGAAAGGGATAAATAAATTTTATGACAAAAATTAATGCATCACTATAATAATTTTGAGGGACCACTGGATGTCCTGTATAAATAAATGAACCTACATTTATTATTTTTTAGTGTGTAATCCGCCAAAACATCCAATGAAATGCTCATCTGATATTAAAACTTTGCTTGATCAATTGGTAAGTAATCAATTAAAACTTATGCTCTCCCCTTAATTTCTCGAAGTTTACGGTCTAATTGTATAAAAGTTACCATAGACCAGTAAATTGATTTTGCTTCTGCTATACTTGAGACTTTTTTTCAAGCGAATTTCATGTTTGGTCTCAATTAGCGAAAGCAGCTTGCAAGCTGTGCAATATTTCAGTTTTTAGCCATAAGTCAATTTTATGGTCAAGCCAAATATATCTTGCTTTTTAGGTTCTGCATTGGTTTGTATTCATTGTAATATACACTGCTCAAGAAAATTAGGGGAGCCATGTGCTCCCCTAATTTTTTTGAGCAGTGTATATCTCTTTGTAATACACTGTGGCCATGAGTAAATTTCAACAGTCAATCTCAAAGAAAAAACACTATCTCTTTCTTTTGACTTTTGAATGTACTTGAGTCAATTTCAGTAGGTTCCAGCATTATTGGGGCAAACTTTAAACGAAAGTAGGGGACATCACAAAAATTCAGATTTGCATAGCAACTCATAGTCGGAAATGTCTTCGAACACCGCTAAATGGTGTTCTTCGCTAGATGGACTGGGGGGTGAGCAGGTTATCTGGCCACCATGGTCTCCTGATTTAAGCACCGTGAATTTCTTTCTTTGATATGCTGGAAAGTGATCAACACCCGTGACTTCCGAAATGAATCTGGAGCAATGGTGAAAACTTTGAAAATTCTTTGTCACATTTTCCCAGATCATCTACCTCAGCATATTTAATATCCTTGACGATGACTCAGGGGATAGAGCGTTCGCCTTCCTATCAGGCAAACCGGATTCGAATTCCGCATCTGGCTTGCACCGTCCTCAGTGCTGACGTAAATTATCCTAATTGGTAGACAGATCGCATGTTCCCTTGCCGTCAGGCAAATTGTGGAAGGTTTTCGTGGAGTTCTTCCCCATATAACGCAAATACGGATAAGTTCCATTAAAAAAAGTCCTCCATGAAAGCAAATTTCTCCCAATGCTTGATCTAGGAGTTCCCTTGTCTTCTGGATTGGGTTCAAAATTACAAGGCTGCGGAGTTGAACATTTATAGTCGTGAGTCCATAAGATTGGGTCAGCTGTTCAACGACGGTTATAAATATAATTATATATATCTTTGACCAATAAATAATTCAGATTATCTCAGTCTTGATTCTCTTTGTTTCATGTACCTGTCACGCTACTTTCCCATGACGTTTTTGACCATGGGTTGCTATGCAATTCTGAATCCTTGTGCTGTCCCCTAACTTTGTCCCAATACTCCTTTGTCACCCGGTATAAATATGTTCTAATTGATAATATGGATAAATTAAAATAAGAAACATCAAAGTTCGTTGCGGCTATAAGTGTTACCCCGTTACTTTCAGTTTTAATCCTAAAACTTCTGTTTATTTTACAAAGAACTTTTTTGTTTATTTAGAAAAAAATCTAAAGTAAAATTTTTAAAAAATAAAATATTATTTAATCCATATGATAGGGGAGTTTTTTTTTAATTTTACTTTTGTTCATTTGTAGGATACGATGGATCTTTCAAATATAGATACTGCGATGACAACAATTCAACATATAGCTGACGTGACCAAAGCAACAGGCAAACCTCCAAAAGGTATTCTAATCCTTTGACTATTTTTTTAGTGACTAAGTTTTATTTTTGTTATTATCTTTATTAGAAATACTCATTTAATAGTTACATTTTTTACAATAATTTTTGCGCGAATTTATTTCGGTAATGATAATTTTATTTATTCCAACTCTTTTGAACTAACGTAAATAATATGAAACTATTTTGTTCAACTTTTTTTATGAAATGATATTTTGTCATTATAGCAATTGTGAAGTTAAATAGAGCTTCAGAATTTAAAATTTAGGATGATTTGCAAATATTTGGCTAACATTATTGTTATTATTATGACATTATTACTATTAACAAATATTGGACTGTTTTTAAACTTGTTTTTTTTTTCATTTTGTTATTTTTTAATATTTACTGTTTTTTTTATATATATTAAAGTCTGACATTTTTTTTTAATCTATTGAAGTTAGAGCTTTGAAATTTCTAAAATTTAAAAAATTAATCACCTCACCATAAAATCTGTACCCAGTTTTGTTCTAACTTATATCGACGTGCCAGAGAAAACTTTTCCAGCTGGCTTTTTAAAAATTAAAAAACTAATAGCAATTTGAATTTATTTTTTTAAATTGAAATATTTTGATAAAAATTTTTTTTCTAATTCTTGTTTGCTGAAAATATGTTTTGGTACGTAAATATCGCCAAAAATAACATTTGTTGCTTTAAATTTTTCTGAGAAAATAAAGTTTTGGGGACCGCATCGTCTTAAAGTAAAACTTATCCATTGGTGCTATTTCCTAAAAATATTATTAAGTAAGCGTCCAATTATAACTTTATTCACTTATCTTATTTGAAAATATCTCTTTCTGCTGCTCGGCCAGCAGTAGTTCTACTCGTCCTCGTGCCACATGCATACCTGCCAACTTTTACGCATTTGGCGTAAAATTTTATTTCTATATTTAAAGTGGTAGTAAAATGTATGCTTTCCATTCATTCCTTGCATTTATAAACTTAATTTATAATCTTTCTGACCACCACTATTTTTTAAAAAATATAAGCATATATATTAATGTGTAATACTGCTTAGGTGGTCCATGCCCACTTTGCGGGCAGGTACTTTGATCAACATCCTATCCAGTCCAGTCCAGTCAGTTTAGGAGGTCCGCATACGGCCCCCATAATACAGCGTATATTTCTGCCTAAAATTGTAATTTAAATTCCCTTTTACTACCACTGGGGAAAATTATATTTGAAATGATTAAAAGTTGGCAGGTATGCACATGCAAAACGACTACGACGTTTACGCAACCGCCATCTTATCGGTCGTTTACACAATTCTGGTTCTGATCTGTCGTTTCCACAATCTTATCGGTCATTTACGAAACCACAATCTTATCGGTTGTTTACGCAAAAACAATCTTATCGGTCGTTTACGCAACCGCAATCTTATCGGTCGTTTACAAAATCAAAATCTTATCAGTCGCTGATGCAACCACAATCTTATCGGTCATTTACGAAACCATAATCTTATCGCTTGCTGATGCAACCGCAATCTTATCGGTCGGTCACGCAACCAACTCCACCAAAGCAAACCAAACTTTTATCTTACTCGTCTTTTCGATGTGCAGTGATTTCAGATCAAATTTATGTTTCGTGAAATAAAAATTTATTAAAGGGGTCGGCCTTTTTAAATAAATCTCTATTTTCAGAAAAATGTTGCAATGATTTATGTTAAAGAGCCTCTTCTGACCAAAAGGTGATTTCGCATTCTAAATGTTAACTTGCGAAAAATTCATTATAATCCAGAAATTCCTTACTTATTTAGCAACAAATTAATATTTTCAAATAATTTTTGCTTCAATTTAGCCATTGAAATATTTTCTGTTGAACTTAGCCCCCGAATTTTTAGTTTCAAAGTTGATAGCTTCTTAAAAATTTGAACTTTAGATATTTTAAAAGTACTTACAAGTTTTAACTTCAAATTTCAAGGACAGCGTTCATTCAATAGAACATATTTCAATGAAAAAATGAAACAAAAATATTAATTAATTGCATAATAAATCAGAAAATTCCAGACGCATGATTTTCCGTAGGTCAACATGGAGGAGAAAAAATATTTTTTAGTAACTCTTGACTAAAAAAAAAAATTTTTTTTTTATTAAATTTTTCAAACACATAGATATAAAAACAGAAATTTTTGACTAAAAGCAGAATTTTAAATTAACTCTAAAACTTTTATATTGAATTAAATTTAAAGTAAACTAATTACTCTTGACTGTAGACAGAACAAAAAATTTACTCTAAAACCTTTACATTGAGTTAAATTTCAAGGAAACTCTTGGTTCTTGACTGTAGACAGGATTACAAATTTACTCTAAAATTTTACATTGAATTAAATTTATGCTTAATTATTGTGAAAGTTTATAATTTATATCTGTGTTGTGCTCTGAAAGTTGGAAAACTGGCAACTTTAAAATAAAATATTTTTCGCAGAAAAGTCCATAAAATCTCGAACACATAATTTTCCGTAGGTTAACATGGAGGAAGTAAAATCCTTTTTTTTCTTTCTTTTTTTTTCTTTCTTTTTTCTTTTTTTTCTTTTTTTTTGTATTTACACTCTAAAGCTTTTACATTGAATCAAAATTAAACTTATTTATTGTGAAAGCTTAAAATTTAGCTCTGCTTTATGCTCTCATATTTTGAGAACTGACAATTTTAAGATGAAATTTTCAGTCTTTATAAATATTTTCCACAGATAAGTCAGTAAAATCTTCAGGAGAAGACTCGAGCGGGGCAGAAGGAGGAGGAGGGGAAGAAGAAGAAGAGATTGACATGAACGCGCTTAGAAAAGGCAATCTTAAAGACATGATAGCAATCGTAAAGAAATTGGTGAACAAGACATCGGGTCCCTTCAGTCCTGGTGTGGATCCAGAAGATCTCACTGTTTTATACGTATGTTCTACCACTTTTAGTTTTAATGAAGCTAAGTTATTAAAAATTTAGCCTGGAATATAAATATATCCGCCATACTCAAGACCAATGATTAATTGTAACTGAGGAAGTTTGAAACATAAAGTTGTTTAGTCATATTGCTTTAAGCAAAAACAATCCAAAGTAGGTGCTGCAGATAATCACAGAATCTGCAGATTTTTTTTGTCCTTTGAAATGAAAAATATTTTTTTCTTCCAATTGCAGGCACTGAACTTTATTCGTTTCGCCTTAGAGGAGGCCAGAGTTGTTACTCATTTCACGTTACCCAGTGGGCACCTGTCAACCAAAGTTACGGCGGCGAGTAACATTTCCACGCCACACTGCCACAAACCCGTTTATAGGGTGGGCCACATTCATACATCACACACAACAGAGGACAACACAAGAGAGAGAAACATCCATGCCCAGAGCGGGATTCGAACCCGCAGTCCGGCGCGCTATCCGTTCGGCCACCTGGCCGGTGAAATGAAAAATATTCTTCAATGTTATTTTCTGCGATTTCTCTTTTTTAAAATATTTTTGTCTTTCTATTAGCTTTATTGTGCTTAATATGTACTGATAGCCAGTGGTGTAGTTTTGGAGGGTTTGGAGGTCAAAACCTCCTCCGAAAATTAAAAGTTACCTGAATAACGAACTATTGCATTGTAAGTAAGAGGTAGATTTAAAACAGTTAAAACAGTTTCATTATTCATTTTTTGTAATTTAAACGTTTATATATATATATATATATATATAAA